GGCTTCTTCTGCATTTGGGGGCCATCCGCCGCAGGACGCGCCACTTGCTCGGGCGCGGCCGCGAGTTTCCCCACCCGAGCGAGAATGGACGTGGCGAACCAAGATGTGCTGCTCGAGGTAGAGGAGGAGGATGAAGATGAAGATGAAGAAGTAGCAGCCGCGAGGGAGGAAGAGGATGGAGAGATCGGTGAGGCCAGAGGGTGGGATGGAGGGACAAGAAGGCGCTGAGCATTTCCCGGTGCAGTCCCCCGAGTGGGACGTGGGAAGTAAGGGAGAGTGATGGGGCATCTAAAGCTGGGGTAGCTTTCCCGGTTCTTGGCGTGAAGGACGCGCGAATGTCTTGAAGGAGCCTTGCTAGGGAGCCTTGGTAGCGCTCCTCCAGCGCGAAGGTCCAAGAGTGTGGTGGCAGGAACACGATCTGTTTAGGACAAGCTCTTCTCTGGATGTTTTTGCTTTGTTTTTAATCCCTGTCTACCCTGAAGAAAGAAGGATTTTCCACCCATCCCCTTGCCCCTCCTTTGATTGACCCCCTCCACTTTTCGAGACTTTGCCAAGGCTCTCCAAAGTCCCCGAGGCCCGACGACTTGGCTGCTCGATATAGTTCAGCTCAGCTCGGTTCCGAGTTGTCGCCTCCTTTTTTAAAATACAGTAGGTTAGAGAGAGATGGAAGATTGGGTGTCATGTGACGCCCTCTGGCTGGAGAAAAGTTTCAGCCCCAGAGTCGACAGGCGTCTGTCTTGGCTCGCCTACAGCCACCACATCCCTCTCTGCTGAGCGGAATGAGGGCAGAGAGAATTAGCTGCCTGCCATGTGTCTTTGGATGGGCTTGCGAAAGAATGTGCGCTTGGGCTCCGATCTCGATTTGTGAGTTTATAAGAGCAAGAATCTGTCGCTATTCCAAATAAAAAGGGAGGCGAAGCCTGTAGAAAATGTCTTTTTGTTCGATGGTCTGGAATCACTCAATAGCACTTGTTTCTCACCCACCCACCCTTGCCATATGAAAGACATTAGTTTTCATCAGTACAGTCCACAGAAAGCTACAGCGTAAGTCCATTGAAATCTGAAGGGATTTAAGTTAATTTTAAGCACTATTCCATTGCTTATACAACATATGATTGTTTTGTGTACTATATTAAGCTTCAGCTGTTGGATTTTGGAGGAGAAGAAGTTTAACAAGGAGGAAGAAACATTCACAACTGAGAAAAGGAGACAGAATCCACCTGATGGGTGCATGTTGTAGGTAGTAGGAGAGGAGTATTGGGTTAGAAAAGAGCTTAGAAAAGTTACTTTTATGGGCAACAGCTACCAGAATCTTGGAGCCAATGTGACCGGTGGCTGTGTTGGCTTGGCAGGCCTATGGTCCTATAAAATAGCATTTCTGAGCTCTGTAATCACTGTGCAGTTGGGTTTGTACAACACGTTACACCCTTCTGCAGCTGACTTGAAACATGCTGTTTATATCAACATCAAGAAGCATTTGGGGCTTTTCAGTTTTCCCAGGTTTTTGATCTGACCACCAGAGTGGTTTAGGGAACCAGGGAGAAAAATATTGTAAGAAGAATGCACTCTTTTGGCATAAAGGAGAGCATCAGCAGCAACAGCAAAATCCTGCTATCAATCTCAGATACGAAATGATTAAAAGAAAATTTTATTCATGTGGTATTATTTAAGGCTGCAATCCTAAATACAAATTATTGAATATGTCCCACCGAATATAGCAAGATTGCTTTTGAATAACCATGCACAGAATTGGATTGGTACTTCTCCTTTATCAGCTGTCTTCTCAAACAACTTTTTGTTCAATTCAAACACCTGTAACATGAGGCAATAAATATATAGACTTCTAAAACTCCATTAAATCACTTGGTTCTTCAAAAAAGATGTAAACCAATGTAAACCGGTACAAACTGAAGGTCACCAAAAGCAGGCAAAACATATTATATTCTGTAAACTAGTATATGCTACAATGTTGTTTGTTGTAGAAGATTAGAAAGTAAAATAGCTGATAAAGATAGTAACACAGTTGGGATGCCCACTATAGCACCTGCTTCAGATGAAAATTGCCATTCTTCATACATACTGAACACAGAGAAAGGATCTCAAATATCAGTATTCATGTTAGTATTGAGTAATTGTGAACATATGTTATTTTATTTATTTATTTATTTATGCCCCGCCTATCTGGTCATTTTGACCAGATAAGAGTTAGTGTGGGAGGATTATAATTGGGTACAAAAAAGGAGGAGGAGGAGAAGAAGAAGAAAAACAGGAGGAGGAGGAAGAGGTGGTGGAGGAGGAAGAGGAACCCGGTCGATATGAAGCTGCTAATTAGAGCTTTGGAAGTGGTTTCTGGTCTGAGCAAGGAAGGTGCCTGGGCCAAACTTTTAAATAAAGATGTTGCCCTTCACATTAGTATTATATAGTTGCCTAATAAAAATGTCAAATGTTTCCATAACCCTAACCTATGGATACTGGCTGCTTAGATTTTGTTAGTGGATTATAGCAGCTTGAAATATTTTCTGTTCTTAGTCAGAACTGTGTTTTTGTAAAAAAAAAAAATCCACAAAGGTTTTTTTTATTGACCTTTATGCCTTGTAAATTATGGAGTAGATCTGCAGGTATATTTGACATCAGTCCTTTCTGAAATGATGAGACCTTTTACATCTTCCTAACGTGGTAACGGAAATAAAATGAAGCAGAGACAAGAGGCAGCTGAGATGTGTCAGTGATGCACGCAAAGTACAGGAGACTGGGCATTAGCAACTGCCCAGATGTTTGGAAGGGATAAGGGCCAAATGATTCTTTCACATTCTAAAAACATGATTGTTAATAGAAACAGGAGTGTTTGCATTGCTATTTTTCCGTATGCTTAGATCAAATGTCTGCTTATACCGGAAGACAGCAGATTTGTATATGTGACTGTCATGTGGTGTTAAGGAAGTTTTGTACTTTTGTTCTGTTAAATTATTTTATCAATTACTGACCCAGTATAATACTGGGAAGACAAGAAAAAAACTACCTGTGCAGCACTCTGTATTTAGAATAGGCCCGGGATGACTGTGTGTGAACCACATTGGCCTGTCAGGATGCCATGTTTTGAGACCACAGAGCCCTGGTGTGCTAATGTGGAGCATGTAGGCAAGGCAACCTCATTTTAAGAGAGACTTCAGGTGTATGAAAATCTGCATGGATAAATTATTCCTGCATGTGTGCTGTCATTCTGGGCCCATCCTTTTATCGGACTTGCAATTTGATTCCTTCCTATCACAGATCCCAAAGATCTGAATGGATGGGAGGTACCTTCAGCGAGTTTTAGAACTGACCCTGTATTTGATTAATAATTCGAACAGGAATATATGCAAATAAACATAACTTTGTTCTATCTTCTGTCTAGAGTAGCAGACAGCAGCGGTGCTTGCTGTCACTTCCGGCACTGGGGGCTGAAGTTAGTATTGTAGTTTGACAATCAAATCATGCCTTGTTACTGTCATTATGCTGCAGCTTTTTTGGTTGCTTATTTATTTCCAATATCTCTAAGTCACCCTTCAGTATATGTATTCTCAGTTGTTGCTGCTAAGAATTGTGTACAAATTCTGAACTTACACTGCAGTTCACAGGTCACTTGTTTTACTCCAGAGGGAGAAAAAACTCTCTGAAATTTGAGATGCTGCTTCTGAATAAATGGCTCGTGAGAAAATAAACATTACTTCCTGTTCCCGACTCCTGCTGTTCAAGTCAAGGCTTGCACCTAAAGCAGCTGCCATTGTCCCTCAAATAAGCTGCTTTCTTCTTTATATGGGGGTGCCATGTTGGCATAGCTCCTTACAGATACAGGGCCACCTGGCATTAAGCGCATGGTGCCGCATGGAATGCATGAAGTAAGCTGTGTGGAATTAAATATACTGTGCAAGGCTGAGGTACTGCTCTCTTCCCCACATCTCCCTTTCTCTAACTGACTCCTTGTACTATGCTCTTGTGTAGTGTGGTGCTGATGTATATTGCACTGGCAAAGGACCAGCACCACTAGCAGCCGCAGAGCAATTAGGCAAGGTGCTCTTTTGTGCTGACTCCATGAGCTTAGTACAGCACCTCATGTTCTAACTTAACTGCCAGTGTGAATGGAATCCGAGAGGGCACCATAACTGAGTAGAAATTTTGCTGCACTAAAATGGTGCTCCTGCTCATTCAGATCCAGGGATGCATAACCCTCCCTCCCCAAAAAAACTAGTCAAATTACACCGGAACAAAAAGCAGAAAAATGCCACAAGAACAGTTCCCCATTCCTGGTGATACAGATGCAAAGATAAATAGAAACCAGCTGCCTTTTCATGACAGCCCAAATTGGGTGCATCATTCTGTCTAATGGTAGACGTACCTTGCTCAGTGCTAAACCATATGATGCCCATGCAGAGGATCTCAGAATTGGTTTCTGACACTGGGTGGTGGTTTTTTAAGAGGCAAGGCAGCAAAACCATAATATTAGACTATGCTAATGTTTAGTTTTGAAAGTTTACTTTGAATTTTGGGCAGAAGCTGATAGGAGCAGTTGAGGCTTTGTTATCTACTCAGGAACGAGGACATTCCTGGCCCCATGTGTCTTTGAGAGTAAACAAGGAAAACTTCCTTAGTAAAATTACCTTTTCTTTTAAGTCAGTTGTTGCTTTGTGTTCAGAATATTTTAATAAATTAGTTAAAGCTATTTTTTTACAGTGCCAGTTCAAAGCCTGTTCAAAGGTTAGAAAAGCAGGTGATTTTCAAAGCTTGTGCCTGAGACCCACTGTGAATCTAAAGAAACATGATTGTGTGAGACAATATTTGTGAGGCTGTTAGCTTCACTTAGAAAGGGTGAGGATGTGGCGTACAGCTCTCTGAATCCTCCAGCAACTCCCTGCAACGCATACTGGCTGGTAGGCTCTGGAAGCTGTAGTCCAAAAAGGTAACTTTATTCAGTCTTCTCTGTCAACAGTGGGTTGAATCCAGACTTATGCTTATTTAAAGTTGCTCTACTGAAATCAATGCAATCTGGATGCTGTGGCCAATTCTGCCCCCTTGGGACTTGCCATGTGGCACACCCAGTTGCCAAAATGCAATTATTTCCTTTTCATTTCTTCTCCCAAAACTAGGAGTGACTAGAAAGTCACTTCCTGTTTTGAGAATACAGTACTCTGCAAACACTCCCACCCAGTT